CCTCCTTCTCTTCCTTTTCACCTTCATCCTCTTCTTAATCTTACCATCCTCTTTCCTGTTCTTTCTTTACTCTACAGTGTGTCTCTAAAAAAAGTAAACCCAACTTCAACGGCAAATTTTCAGAAAACTATAAAATATTTACACATTATTTTTTATGGTTAGATAGTCCAATAAGTCCTCTGTCCAATGATACCACGTAGGTTATGTAACTCTCATGCATGACTGAGCATGATTCAACTTAGTGAATGGGTGTGAAATCATCACTGTGGCAAGTTAGAATTGCACTGGAAGTTCATCAATCAAATGACATAGGAAATGTCTGATTTCTTACAATCATAGCTTAGGGATGTGTACCCTCGACATGACCGTCATTCCTTTCCATGCAAAGCTCGCAACGCCTCCTCATGTCCCTGACAGCACGCCTGATCATTCCCTGATCTTGTCGTAATCGGTTCACTTCACCTGTTATCTGTTGCCTCAGCTCCTGAATTGTGGCCGGTGGGGTTTGGAACACTTTTCCTTTAAGATACCCCCAAAGAAAGAAATCGCATGGTGTCAGATCTGGTGAACGTGCAGGCCACTCAACTGGGAAATGAAGAGCAATGATGCGATTGCCAAAGAGTTCAGTCAAACGATTCCTCACAGCAATAAGTCTGTGGGCTGGGGCCCCATCCTGAGCCCACCAGGCCCTGCGGAATGTTCCACGTCGTTGTCGGGGGAAGATCTGTTCCATCTCAGGCACAATAAAATTGTTCAGCATGTCAAGGTACGCCCTGCCATTGATGTTGCCTTCAAAAAAGTAAGGTCCCACCAATGAACCATTGCCACAAAGACCAATCCAGACACTCACTTTCTCCCTGCTCATGTTCTTATTAAAAGCATATCCCGGTGGATGATGGAGTTCAGCATACTCGTGCTCATTGTGGGTGTTTACCATTCCATCCATGGAAAACGTTGCTTCATCCCCGATGGTAAAAAACTGGAGGAACTGTCGATCTCGGTTGCACCGGTTCACAAACCATTGTGAAAATTGAAGTCGTCTGGGAAAATCAGCTGGTAGAAGTTGGTGCTGAACATGAACATGATATGGATGGAGATGCAAATCCAGTCTTGCTATTCTGTTAAAAGTTGCGCGTGGTATTCCAGTATCATTTCTCCTGGTGCTTATGCGTGGGTTGGCTTGGATGGCCTCTCTTACCACTTGGATGTTTTCAGCAGACCTCCCAGTTCGTCTGTGGCCAGAGTGTCCTTTATTCCTGTTCAAACTGGTTCCGTGATCAGCATACTTTCTCACATTGTACCAGATGGCTCTTTTTGTTGGAGGCTGCCTCTCGGGGAACTGCACCCGAAAAGCATCTTGAACTTCCACGAAACTTCTTGTTTCCTGGTATCGAGTTACCAGGAATACTCTCTGCTCAATTGTCAACTGTACCATGTTTGGAAAGCATGTGAAGTGTGCCTGTGTTAGGAACAACCTTTGCTGAAGTTGTTATGTAATCATAGGCCTAACATGTGACAAAGATTTAACTTCAAATAGGCCCTGAATGCATGACAATAGCAAGAAATAACTTGCCACAGTGATGATTTGACACCAGTTCACTAAGTTGAATCATGCTCAGTCATGCATGAGCGTCAGATAACCTAAGTGATATAATTGGACAGAGGACTTATTGGACTATCTAACCATGAAAAAATAATGTGTAAATATTTTATAGTTTTCTGAAAATTTGCCGTTGAAGTTGGGTTTACTTTTTTTAGAGACACACTACCATCATGCTCTTCTTCACTTTTCTTTATCTCCTTTTTATATAAAGTGAGTTAGGGAGATCAAATAGTAATAGAAATAACTGTACTCATTTAAGTTCAGTTCTTTAATTTTGATGTTATTTGATATGAATGTTTTTATATATTGCAATTTACATTGCCCAATTCGGCCTTTCAGGCCGCGATGCAGTGTTGTTCTTTTATTCTCAATAAAACCATTATCAATTCAATTCAATTCAAAGGTAGTGAATTCTTTCAAAAAGATGTAACGGTAAATTCAATGACGATAATACAATAAACAGCAAATAAATTCAGGTTATTGGAAGAAAATCAGATAAAATGAGAAAAAGAAGTAGTATAGAGGTATAATGGAAAAGGAGAAGAAACCAAGACACTGTTGAAAATGCTTGGTAAGAGTGTGGTACTAGATGAAAGGAAATAAGGCGTGAAGATCAAAGAGGATGCCGCCATGCAACTATTGAATTCTTGCTTATAAACTTAGTCATGATGAGTGAATCAGACAGTCTGGGCCAGTTCATATCACGGAAGGGTGCTAACAGTATCACATCCATCTAAAATGGGAACATTCCGTAACGAAGGCATGCTCTCTACACCCCCTCCCTGAATATTCAACTCTCTGGAGACGATTTCGCTCATTATTGTAAAATAAAACACACGATCAAACAATCTCCAATGCACAACTCAATCGAAAGGAATTAGGGAGTATTTAAATCCTCATATTTGAGTGTAGTGATCTTTGGGAGGCATGGAAACTGTCTTTGTTTTCGCTATCAATGAGCTTATAAGCATACCATGTCATATGGGTGTATTTGTTTTCTACCTATGGTTTTTGATCGCTAACATCATTAAACACTTATATGTCCAGGCCACGCATGAAATAAATTACAATTCATACAACATATATAAATACCAAAAGTTAGATATGCCTTTATTTTCCCCTAAAAATACAATATAAGAATACAATTTTGAAGGAGTTACCCATGTAACCCATGTAACCCATCACCTTTGATTCATTTTCCGTTGTTGCACCTGTTCACGCAAGAAACTGGTCACAAAAATTAGGAAGAATATACTCTCTGAAACAATGCAGATGGTATACACCACGACTAACTGACAGTATCATGAGGTAAACTGAAGGAACCTATTTAATTATAACACAACTTGGAAATTCAGCTCCCTACAGAAATGCTTCTCATATTTTTTATTCAGTGGTCTTAAAGGGATCGTTTAACAATGTTAAATCTGAGATACACGGCCCTACGTGTTATCATTGTCTGTGATATGGTGTAATATTGAAGCCCTAAAAAAATTGCGCTTCAAAATGATCAAGAAGTGCCTCAAAAAAGTAAAGATCTTTGAGTGACCGGTTTTACCATACTCGTTTTCCCCAATTGACTGTAGTGTTATGAAAACCGTCAGGCGAACGGTTTTCAAAATTTGTAATTCCAATCATAAATATTTTGATAATCAGACATCGGCTTGCAAAAGTCATGGGGTTCCTGACTGACCTAAAGGTTTATAATTATCATTCCATCATGAGCTAAATCCAGAATTTTGTTTCAGAATCTGAGACAAAGTTACCGGATCCCTTTAACATTTGAATCTGAAAATTTTGGATGAAAGGCTGAATAATCATCCGGCCTTCCCTACTCCTAAAGAGTGTCTTAAGTGTGACACAGTCAAGAAATAGTTTGACCATCAAGCATTCAAGTTGAATATCTGATAAGAAGATTTCTAAATCCAGTGTGAACATACTATGGTGTGTACATAGCCACATTGTCACATGTAGGCCACACATCATCCTTCCTGTACTATTATTCTTCAAGAATCTGTCAAAAATTAAAGAAATATCATAACTTTTCCCCTAAATTTAAGCCATTTTTTCCTTCTTCCTGTCATGTAATTAATTATCATTTAATTAATCATTAATCACTCTAAACTCTAAGGCCCGAATTTACAAAGCAAGGTTTGAGCTCAAACCTCCTTTTGTTCTTTACAAACCAGGTTTGTAAAAAACGCGTAAAACGCGTCATATGACGTACGAAAACCAAGGTTTGTGACAAACCTCCTTTGTGAATTCGGGCCTAACAGTTTCATACAAGTACTAATGATGATATCATGGTCAATTATCAACCATAATATTCATAAACAATTAATACTTCATGTTCTTCTTTTGAAGAATGGCATATAATAATAAGGCTCTTAAAGACCCCTAATATACAAAATACAATAATATCTTAGCTGCAGTAAGGCTGTGACATAGCATCTACACGTATATATTCGTAATGTTTACATGATTGTGAGGTCATCTAAATGCCATCCTGACATAAGCACCATTCACTTGGTGGGAAAACAGCTCTGCTAAGCAGGATTAATAAGAAGAAGACATTTCAAGACATGATAATAACAATAAACTAGAAGTAATCATACATTGATATCTGGCCTGAGAATAATACACACAATAATTATTGAATTCATCTCTACTTATGAATTTGTATGTTTCGATAGACTGCGGTCTATTGAAAATATATATAACATAATAAAAATGAAACCATGCTTAACAGGTGAAGTGAGTGACTAACATATTTTACAGCAAGTAGCAAGATCCACTCATTGCTTTGTTCTTTAATCATTTTTTAAAAGGAATACTTGAAATGTACATGATCACTTTATGGAGTTTGACTATCCTTGTGCATAGATCATGACTGATCACTAAGCTTTGATCATGCATTTGACTAAAAAAAAAAAAAAAATTAATTCAATTCAATAGATTTTTAATATAACAGATATATCTTAACTAAAGCTAATCTACGACTTTCCGTTTTTCCTCTGTAAAACATCATCAACAGCAACAGTCTCAATAAATATGTTAGCTATTTGATCAATACTCAAGGTAACAACCCATAATACTTGAATATCTAATTTCAAATATTGAAACTCTCAGAAAATAAGGGTTCTGTAATTATAATAGTTTGCTATCATCACAAACACAATGAAAATATCTTTGGAATTTCATAGCCTTTTCTGCAGAAACACCCTCTCAGTCAGATGTAAATATCTGTGATCATACAATGTTAATAACAGATTAGTGAATATTGGTGCTTACATGCATAACAGATGTCTGAACATAATGAAATATCATTATTTCACCCAAAGTTTTACAAAACATTACACATTGTGTGTTACATATCATAGAATGTCTACAATATATTTGTATTTATTTGCATCAACTGTGATCGTTAAAAAATCAGAGTAAAAGGGGTAGAGAACAAATAATGATGGAGGAAAAAACAACAGACATAGATAGAAAATAGAAGGGGAAAGGGAGGCACAGCCAAAAGATACCAGACAAAAATAAACCTTTTCATAAAGTGCAAGACAAACATACATCATAGAGTGGCAGAAGGAGAATTAGAAAACAAATTCTACAATATAAAAATACCTAATTCAGAAGTCTTAGCTGTATTAAAGATCACACACATGATATAAATATTGATATATTTTCAACGTATTGCTCTTATTAGGTGGTCTGTCATCAACAGACCACCTTTCAATATTGTCAACAATTATTGTTGTTATTCTTTATTTGCATTCCTTTACTTTATTATGGCAATAATTTGAAATCAACATGATCAATACGGCAGTTAACAGGCATGGTAAGAAGATATGCAACTACAATGTCATTTGATCGTCTTGACAACATCCAGGTGCCATTTTGTCTTTATTTTAAATATCTATTTGTCTTACCTTTTCAATAGTAGAACCATTCTTATTCAAATTTGGCATGATTAAAGTTTATGTCATTACACAAGATTTGATCCACTCAATCAACACCATGATTGTGAATGATTCCACTTGAAAGATGCTTCACTTAAGTGTTACAGCTCTGTTCCAATGTCATTATTTTTCTTGGAAAATGGTTTGATCATCAGGTTGAAATTCTGTAGTTAATGATATTTCATAATCTTAATAGAACCTTTGAATATTAATGAAATATTATCATTGTAACACTAAATTGTCATACTAGCATTCAATATATCATCCTTGTCAACATTTCTTGCATAATACATTTTGATAGATAATTATACTTCAAATCACAAGTGTATGTTTCTTGTTCTATTGACTTCTAACTTCTAATGGGAAGATCTAGGTAGTGAACAATTTAGCAATTGTTATCCTCATTGGTGTATGGCCTTATTGTTCAGATATAGTTTGATAGAATTGAAATTTTATACCTTGTTGTAAACTAGCCAAAATGAAAGGTAAAAGCATCTAAAAATTGCCTGGATTAACCCCTTAACCATGATTAAGAGAAGAATGTAAGACTCGTAAGGAAATATATTTTTTTGCATTGATCCTCATAATGAATGCCCATCTTTCCATCACAGTTGCCTCAGCTATCCATTGAATATCATCTAAGTTGAATACCTTGATATCTTGATTTGATCTGTAAGTGAGAAGAAATATGAGAGATATATGTGGATAAATGCACATGTTATACTGGAATGTTGCAGATCATTTCTTTGAGGGTTCCTTGTAAGTTGAATTGCTTCAAACATTCTTTCATTCCTTATTTCTTGTAGACATCTTCACACACAAAAAAGTAGTGATAAATGTTTACATAACATTTGACTCTTAAACTTATGGACATTATTATAAACAAATTAAAAAATAGAGAACCTGTTCAAGTTTCAATTATTAAGCTCTATGAATTTTCCTTGAGTGAAATAAATTTGACTACAAATCGATACAGGTACAGAATACGTTAGGTACACGTCTATGTAGCAGTTGCTACCGCTTTATGCTTGAGAGGCAAAATGAACATTAAAACAGAACATGAATGACATGTAACATGAAGTTCACATCACTTAGTTTATACATATGAAGATAAATTTCTCCAAGAGTAGTTTATCTCGGAAATATTGTTAACTTAGTGTTACCTCATATCAAATTGCTTTGAAAGGAGAAATAAGGAACATACAAAAATAAGCCATATTTATGAGCATGTTACAGCAAACAAATGATTATTGGGCTGTGAACATGAGGGGGGGGGGGGGGGTTAACTCATAACCTTAAATAGTTAAGGTCCCAGTGTCTAAGGGGATGACTTTAATAACCTTTCACTTATAAGAAAAGAATCATGAATTGGGAACCCAAATGAACTATCATATATTGAGAAGTTTGCTGTCACAATATGACACATTATAAAATGGCTCTAGTATTTTAAGCATCGTGATTGGTCAATACGCGTCACATGACATTGACAAATTTTTGATGCAAGCACGATTTTGCAGAAAAAAGCGCATAAAAAGTTATAATACACGTTACCATGGATATCCAGCGCGCGTAGTACTAGTACGCTCCCTCGAGTGCATTGTAGGCTATAGGCTACGTGTAGCTAATATTGTACGCTCCACCATGATCCCCAGCTAGCTAGAGCGGGGTATTATTAGAAAGCAAATTTTTATTTTACTATTTTGCCTTGGATTTAGACCTGTTTTGACTTTTGGATTTTATAATGAAGCCAGGAATTTCAGCTGTCTGATGTAGACTCGTCTCTAGACCTCCTATGGATTTTATTTTTAATCAAACAATGAATCCCGTGGACTTTTTGGTAAGCCTGCAAGTCTTGTAGAACCAACATAACTCTAGATCTAGATCGAACTCTCCTAGACTCTAACTTAAGATCTAAACTTTTGTTTGTTGCTATTTGTGTCGCTATTTTATAAAACAAATAACGCACTTGACCCTGTTGTGCGAAACGTAAATGCAGTGTACGCTCGGTTCCTTCAGATGGTTCGCACTGTCAACTCGCCGCAAGCGGATCGTTGCACAGAGCGGCACCAATCTAAAGAAACCTCGGACCTACTGCATTAACCGCTATTGCACTCTGGGCCGTGCGTTATTTGTATACAATTCTTTAATTGTATAGACATTTTGGAAAGATCACAATTTTGTTAGATCAGGACTAAAAATATACAGCCATGATAGTATCTTTCATCTCTCTCTCCCCAAACACTGGAACCCATAAATTTAAAATCATCCCTTCTCTGATAATACCCACTTTTTATCTCTCTCCTATTCATCTCTGAATCCTAAACTGGAGGAATTCCTGCAACTAGCCCAGCTTGTGAGGAGTGATCCTTCAATCAAGCAACGGAGGCACCATTAAACTAGCCACGGAATACACTCTAACAATCTCTACACATTAGGCTCCTGACCATCAAGTCGACGACGATGTGTCTCGCTCTAAATTGGTGTAAATGTTTAGATACAAGCTAGGTCAGGCAGCTCGTCCATTCCGAGGGGAGGCTGAAGGTAGATATAAGGATTGGTATGCGGGAGGGAGAGGGGCCTTGCAGATCAGATCAGATTACGGTTATAGAAGTGTCCTCTATTCATATTTAATGATTGTCAATTGATTGTCCATCAATTCCAAGATTGCACATTAATGTTTGTCGGTGACGAGGGAGGCGGGGCCTATCCGATCAGTCAAGGTGAAAACGAAGAAAAATGCTTCCAGCAATATCTCGGCAGAAACAGAAACCTAGTTTTTCCTCATATTTGATAGCCACCCTGTCCATCAGTAAATTCTTATGTCAGTCTAACTATACCGTTCGAAATTCTTCCTATGTGATTTTGAAGCAACATCTATGAAAAATAAACCAATGACTGATATTGATTTATTAATAAAAGGGAAACTCAAAGAGATATTGATGACTGTGATATAAAACTTATATAATACTTTGAGGAATCAATGTCGGGTAAGTTAATATCTCAATAAGATAGATAGGTGCCAATACAGTTTTCTAAAAACATGTGGTTTATGTTCAACCAATAGGCTAATTTGCTTTCAGACCGACTTAAAGTACGGTACACAATATCAATATGAAGGTTGTGTGTCCTGATTAAAAACAGAATTTCTTTGTTATCATTTTTTGATTTTTTTTTTCTCTTTGTTATGAGGTTGAGGTTCTCTTCCATTAATAATGGGTAAAAATGCAAATATTATCAAACATTTAGAAAAAGCAAAAAAAAACCAGAAGAGAATATTCCCCCTTGAATTCCACCGTTCCATTCCCGAGAAGAGAGCTCTTTGAAGATTCATTAATATTCAGTGGTTTGTAATTGAGGATTAGGCTACTACATCCCCCATCCACAGAATGAACATATACTCCAGTATCTTCTAAAAGAAAATGAATATTTATGAATCAGAGGATACAATTTCAAAATGTACCCCCTCTCCAACTATCTACACAGCTTTGTATTAACTACTATTCTTTCATGAATTTAAATTGATTATACACTGAAAAGGAACCCAATCTACTGCAATTGACATATATTTTCTTTTTCTTTATGAATTCCATATTCTAGACTTAATTTTGGAGTGTTGTGTTGCAGATCATTGCAGATTACATCTAAATATAGGTATATTGATTTTCTAAAAATACCTGTCTGCTCATATCCCAATTTTGGTTGAATACAGAATCTTGTCTTTTACTCTATTGTCTATCTACCTTTCACAAACAATAAAACAATAAATAAATGAATGAACGAATTGGAAAAATCAGAAGCTTGGCTCTATGTCATTGGTCAATATATCCATTTCAATGCATTTCGCCGTAAATAACAGCTCTCCGCAAATAACCAAACAGTCAGAAATTGCATTTATCTGCCCAATCAGCAGAGTGTGCAGGCTCGCTCTCAAATGGCTAGTATCAATGCAGTCACTGTAATTGACTCCTGTTTCCATGGTTACCATCTCACATTGCAGAATCGCCCTTGGGCTCAGGATGCCCATGAGAATTTCAAATTCAAAGATGCACCAGATATACTGATGCAAAATAACAATATTTGACTATTTTGGGCACAATTTCCTTCCATTTTGTTGCCACGTTTCATACTCTGCCTGACTTTGCATCGGACTGGGGAATGCTGTGAAGTGTGATGATGCAGATGGAGACGAAGATGATAGTAACAATGATGGTTGTGGTGGTGGAGGTGGGGTGGCGGTGGTGATGATGATGATGATGATGATGATGATGATGATGATGATGGTGGTGGTGGTGGTGGTGGGGGTAGTGATGATTATGGTGGTATTGGTTGTGATGTGAATAATTATGATGATGATGATGAAGAAGAAGAAGATAATGAAAATTGTGAAGATGATGGTGGAGGTTGTTGTTATTGTGTTGGTGGTGGTGTGATGATGATGATGATGATGATGATGATGATGATGATGATAATGATTATAACACTTGTGACATAAGGGCTATGGAATACCACTTTAGTGACCCAAACAAATATGGAGAGATTAACATTTACAAAGCTCTTACTTTTCACAGAAAGCTTGCCTGGTGCTTGCGGGACAGACAAATAGTAAACATGAGTGATAAACATGTATTATTTAGATTGTTACAGGATGTGGACCTATTCAATAAGTTCATTAGATTTAATTAATGATGGTGTCAAATCAATTTGCTATACACCCTCCTGAAACCATTATACATTTCCATGAATTCGTAAATGTATTAGGAAAGTACTGGAGAGGTTAACGGCCTAGATTAATTGTGAATTCCCTAAGTGCTACTTACTAGAGCAGAGCCCTGTATTTAAGTAGATGTAATTAACAATATTTAATTATAATTAGATTTAAGTACTTTAGAGCCAATGTTTACATTAGTCCTATAAATGTAGAGTGATAGTGATATGTTTCAAAACATAAATTGTGTAGGTCTATCCGAGTTGCACATCTCTAGATTACACTCATTTACGGGTTGACCTGCCAAGAATTGAATGACACAAATTCCTTTACTGGTACTTATTTTGGGATATAATGAACAATTTTGAAACAAATAAAAATATAAAAGAGAATGTAGACCTATCTTACAACAGATTGCAAGTACATAATGTACAAGTAAAGAAGAAGAAGCATTTTGATGAGATATTTCTTAATCAAAGGTAAAGTACTTCAAAAATAAACGTGTTTGTGTCTGTAGAAGATCCTTTTTTTTGGTGGGGGAGGGGGGAGTGGAGCATTTTTTGTTTGTAGTCCTTTCAAACAAGGAATAAACACATTGCTCTTCAAATGTATCTAACACATCTAGAAAATTCTCTCTAATTTTGAAGAGTTTATGAGCACATCATTCTGCTAATATACAACAGCATGTAATGTACCAAGAACTTAAGAAGTCATCACAATATCTCTCTTGAGACATTAATTGCTCCTGACCTTGCTACCTATTTCAGTTGATCAATGCTAATACTCAGACTGACATGGCAAGCATGAACAAGACCAATACCCTCCTCGTTTGCCGCAAATGAATGAAACGAAGGTCTCTACGCTACGCTCATTGTTCATGGCTAAAATGCGCAAGACAGAAAGTATTCTCTTTCTCCGTTATTCTGGGTCCTTAAAAGAAAGCAACCTTGGGAAACCGGTACGCT